TACAGGACGGTGCAGTCCTCTGTGAGAGCAGGATAAGCTCCTGTGCCATCTTGAAGAGGCAGCAGCGCAAATCTACCAAGGAAGGACGTGTGGCTGCTCCTCAGAGCTCTACATTCTCTCTGACCTGTCCAGTGTGCCACAGGGAATTTTGGGCTCGGCTTGGCCTGTTCAGCCATCTGCGCACTGATCAAAACCCAAAAAAATGACAAACGTGCCACGGTCATCATCAACTATGATGGACGAACAAGAGAGAGAGAGAGAGAAGACGCCTGTGAGCCCAGTGACCTGACTATGATTCCGAGGCAATTCTTAACATTAGTCGAGAGTGATATGTGAACTGGTCCTGGGCCGCCCCCCCCACTCCCCCACAACCATTCACCCATTCGCACTGACCAAAGTGGTGAAGTATGGTCGAACAACCCTCTTGGCCAAAACGGCGTGATGGGTGGCTTCATCTTCCTGACGTAGTTTGACACTTTTGTCCGAAAAATTGGAGGAAAGTGCAGGTGCATCGATTAATCGATTCATAATTAATTGATTAACAACTTTTAAGCAATCAAGGTATGAATGATTGATTAATAGATTCCTAAAAATATTAATAATTAAGGATACATTTATTCATAATAATTATTGTATTACTAATTATTCATCATTGAATTGCTTAATCATTATTACTCAATTAATTATGAATCGATTAATCGATCATTAATACCGTAAACGGTTGAGGTTCCACTACTGATGACAGAGATGAGCCAACTTGAGTCGGGGGGGTTGGGGGAAGGGGGCACATCCAGCCTGTTTGGAATGCGCGGTGTCCGTCGCTGACAGCACCATTTTGGCCACATAGTCTTAGCCACGGCTCGGCTCAATAGGAGGCGGCTCAAAGGCACGCTGGACTTGAGGCGGCTCTCAGCGTACGGCCCTCCGAGCCTCCCGTAAGCTGAGGCTGAGCCAGGAGATGGCCGGGCCCGCTCACTGCTGCGTCTGCGAGGACAGCTGAGCAGCTCAAGCCTGAGTTAGGCCGCGTTAGAGATGGAGCCAGAGTTGAACCTCGATGAAGAACACGGCTTTCTCGATATGATGTAGCCATGTCGACCCACACGGTGCACCCCATATTCTTGTACAGGGGAATTGAGTTTCCAGGTCTGTACGGCGTACAGCCGTTTCAATACGGGCAAAAAAATGTTTCTCTTTGTTTGTGTTTCTCCCTCGTGATGACTTTTTAGGATGAATATTGAGATTTATAAAGGGCACGGGGTGACCAATGAGGTCCGAATTGTTCTGTGATAAGGTAGGGCACTGATAAGGGGTTGACAGGTATGTATTTGTATGTTTTGTTGCATATAGGTGCGTCAATAAAAGTGTTAAGAATAGGAACTTAACCGTATGAATAGAGCATGTGTCTATTTTAAGCCGTGCCGTACTGAGCCTAACTGTTGCACGTACTAATCGACTTAAGTAGTTTTTTTATTCTCCACCCTCTAGATCTGCTTTTGCTGCTATTTTCATTGGCATTCATTGACGCCGTTGCGGTCTTTAGCTTTGGTACTTGTGAACCGAACGTGCGGTAGGGGAACAATCTTTCTTGCGCACAAAGTGTCGGACAATTAAGTCAATTCCTCAATGGTCCATTAAAGATTTGCTGGCCGTCTACACGCGGCTGAGCTAATCAGCGTCCGCCGGTGAGATTTAAGTAAACCTCTTTATGTTTTTTTCCCTTTCCCGGATCAATTGCGGTTACTTTATTTTAGATTTGTTCGTGTTGCTGCAGGGACCGGGAGTGTAGTGGTTACCCCGCCGTCCTATGACACCCAACGACCCAAGTTCGATTCCTGCCCACGGCCAACACCGGTGACGATTATCTGAACCCGTCATGGGCCTCCCCTAGGTCGACTCAGCCTCATATGAGTACCTGGTCTGGTGCGTAAACATGACCAGTGGTGCAAATTTTTTCTCGTACAGCACACCGGTGTGTTGGAGAGTAAACCCACAACATTTTTAATTGTAAACCTCAATTATGGATCATAAGCAACCGGTGGTTGTTTTATTCGGGGACTGCTGCCCTCCATGGGAATGTGGAAAGTCCACCATTGTCGATGGAGATAAGTCTATACCGTTGTTGCCTCAAACATCACCACTGGGAAGACAAAGGCGGCTGAGAGTGGTGTTGGCCACCCACCCCCTCGTGTGCCGTGCTGGCCTTCATAGGTGCGACTCGCTAACAACACTTGCCCCGGAAGTCTGTTGATGCTATACGGGGGGATATTTGTCTTTTGTCTTTGTGCATACTTATAGTCACGTGTGTGGGTGTATGTGCGTGCGTCCGTATGTGCTATTTTTCGTGTGTGTGTTCATGGTCGACCGGAAAGTAGTGACCCATTAAGCCAATGCTTCGGTGGGGAGGGGGGGCATTTGCTGACAGACTATCATGTTAACATTCATTGATTGACCACTTACTTACCTCCATTAGTGCACTTACGCATCCAGGTCAGTGGCAAAGAATAAAGCCCCGGCTACTTTTGCTTTGCGTAAGAGTGAGGCAACAGCAAACGTCATGCAAACTGAAATACTCCCATTGAAGATTACTGGGGAATGGGACAATTAAAGACCCTCTTATTTGGCGGCCTAATGCAAGAATTCGACTTTTAAGCCCTGCATTTTCCAGGGCATAGTGCACTAATATCTCCCCTCCCCGTCTAGAACAAGAACGTATGTTCCCCCAAATATAAATGCAGTGAGATTCATTGCATCCGCTTAAAAAAAATGAGCAAAACATAGCGTCGAATGTTTTGAAAGTGTGAATAATGCATATTGCGTTTAAAAAATAATAATAACTTGTGAGTGATTTCCACTCTTTGGGCCTGTTATTAGGGTTGGCCACTTGATGTGATTGCCCTGCGTTGTTATGGGCTCAGATCAGAGTTAAGAGTCCACGCCTTTATATGGATCTTTCTTTCTGTGTGTTAAGACAGTTCTCCCCAAAAGATCAACCAGCAAACTGTGGAAAACTTTAAATGAGAAATTGAATCTTGGCGGCACGCCATGCGTAGATGTTTTAAATAAATAACTAGACGGATGGGTACGTGCGTCTATGGACAGATTTACGAACTCACACGGGTGCACGGGACTTCTTTAACATCGCTCAGTGGTTTAGCCTCTGGCAGTCATCGTGTATGTATGTTGAATCTCGTTTGCACCATACTTAGCCAACCACGCTAATGAGAGGTGCAGCAGAAGGGCAACAAACTAAACACAAAAAGCAGTTATAAAGAAATGAGTTTTCAAACTAGAGTATTTAAAAGTACACAGCTCCATTGCCTTCCTAATATCTAAAGGAAGAGCGTTCCAGACGGCCGCAGATGCGCATCTCAAAGCGCACGATGTGGTGACCGTCTTCCTTTGACGGTTCGCCAAAAGCCGCTGCGAGGATGACCGGAGTTTGTGTTGACGGTTTACGCTCTTTGACGAGATCAGCGAGGCATCGTGGGTGTATTTGTGGCAAGCGCACAATTGTGTCCCTCCAATAAACCTTTCGTCTGGTGAATTTTCTGTACGTGAGTTTTCATTCTTTCTCTCATTCATCTTCATACCCACTTCTCATCCATCTTTGTCAAGTTCTTCAATCATTTCCTGTAAGCTCATTATCATCGCTCGTTATAATAACTGTGTCATCTGTTATCATTTGGAATCTGTGACCTCTCTTCTGTTTTAGTATTCTCCAAGCCACGTTAAGTGTGATTGAAAAAACAATAATCAATTGTGGGATAGTATCGTTTTTTTATTCAATCATCTTTGACCACCAACAGTATTATTTATTAAGACAAAAGCATTTATGCCGGTGTGTCGTTCTGACAAATATTGATAGTGGTACGGTATATACAACTTGCTTGTCTAACATGTTTTTTTTCTTCACAATTTCAATAACTACGGTTTACAAAAACGGTATTTGTTATATTTTACTTGCATGCTGTCTTATTTTCCATCCCAGTTTAACGTGGTTGTTTGCCTCTCGAACTGAGCTTTGTTATCTCAGTGAGCGTTCACCTGCTCGTAAATGAGGCGACCGTCTCCGTCTGTCTCAAAAGTCAAAGAGTCAAAGAGTGTCCCTAATCACATCAGCATTGCGTGCCGCTTATCTCCGTCGACGGCCTTAAGCTCGGTGCGAAATTCTATTTTCTGACGGCAGGCACCCGACCACAACTGCTTTCGACTTGCCAGAAGAGTGATGCTCATTTTTAAAATCCTTTATATTAAGTTCACTTGCTTGCTTGCTTGCGCTTACGACCGTGCAAATCTTTAGGTCGTTTTTTAACCCACTTCCCAGTGATCCAATCGAGCTTACATTTTGCACGCATACTCGTTGTGCGTGACAATTTATTTTCGTGGAAATTTTTTTCCATAACTTTACACTTTTTAGGAATTTTTTTTTTATATTTAATTACCAATTGCTTAATGGTGGCAGGCAATCATCTGACCCATAGATGGCAGCCATCTCAAGCCAGAGGACGAGAGGACTCTAGCCGCCACGCATAAAAAGGATTTATAGTGAAAAAACTTTGTTTTTACGGGTTAATTTTTTATCACTCCCAAATAGGCGATTGACTGAGTCGACCCAGACCCAAGATTAATTTTAACCCGTGATCTTCCACTCGCGAGTGGAGCTCACTGCCTCAGCTTCACCTCACCAGATTCATATATTCGCATCGTATCGATGGTTACAGTTTTTAGTTCGTAGAGAGTAAGTAAGCGTGTCTGGCCAGGGCACTTTACACGAAGGGGGTGACGGCCGGCGGTTGAGACCAGCGAAGGTGAAATGACGCCGGCCTGAAAATTATTTACCGCCGTGATTTTTACACGTGCAATTGAGGAATACGTGTGCACGTACGTTAAGGCGCTGCGAAAAGCAAGACTTATTACGCATTCGGTAAGTTAACAGGTGCGGCGTTGGCCACCCGAACTCACTGAACGTTTCATGACCGGCCCCTTTCGATGTTCCGCAGGGCGGCGCAGAAGCTGAACCTGGCATCGCGGCGGAAGAAGAGGGCGCTGGCGCCGACCATGCGCCTGCCCCACGAGCCGCCCGTCTTCCCCACGAATTTCAGCGGCCTCCTCCGCGTGAGCCCCCCGCCGGCCCCCCCGTGCCTTCTGCGTGGACTCTCCAAGACCAAGGAAAGCCCCGGCATCGGAAAGGTGCGGGTGACCTCGCGACCTTGCGACCTTGTGACCTCGTGACCTTGCGATCTTGCGACCTTGCGACCTCGTGACTACGTGCCCTCGTGACGTTGTGACTTCGTGACCTCGCGACCTTGTGACTTCGTGACCTTGCGACCTTGTCACCTTGCGACCTCGTGACTTCGCGACCTCGCGACCTTGTGACTTTGCGACCTCGCGACTTTGCGATCTTGTGACCTCGTGACTGCGCGACTTTGTGACCTCGCGACCTTGCGACCTCACGACCTCGCGACCTCACGACCTTGCGACCCCGCGACCTCGTGACTTCGCGACCTCGTGACTTCGCGCCGGCGCTGCAAGTGATGGGCGGCGGCAGAGCGGCCGTGCGGGTTGACGCGTTTGTATGTATGTATGTGTATGTGTGTGTGTATGTATGTGTGTATGTATATGTGCATGTGTGTGTGTGTGTATGTTTGTGTGGGGAGCGGTAGTATAGTGGTTAGCGCACTGCCCTATTAACCTGGCGACCCAGGTTCGATTCCTGCTCACGGCCAACACTAGTGACGATTATCTGAACCGGTCCTTGGCCTCCCCAAGGTCGACTCAGCCTCAAATGAGTACTGGTGTGGTGCGTAAACATCGCAACTAGGGAGACAAAGGTGGTCGGGCGTGGTGCTGGACACCCACCCCCTCGTGTACTGTTCCGTCCTTCATAGGTGCTCGCTAACAGCACTTGCCCCAACAGTCTGTTCAGGCTATACGGGGGATCTTTGTCTTTGATGTATGCCATCTCAGTCAGTCAACCCATGGTACCTGGGTCTGTCCCGTGACCTCCTGCCAGCGGGCGTTCGACACTTCACGTGGCCTTAAATTGCGTATAGCATGGCACAAGCACCGTGGTGACATCACCGCCACTTAATGACGAATGGTGGCGGTTGTTGTTTTGTTGTATGTATGTTGAACTTCTTTCGCACCGTACATGAATCGAAGGTGCCGCCACATCGCCAGCGGTCTGCGGTTGGAGCTGCGGTTGTGCCCGCAGGGTGGTTGGCACCGCCGCATGACATTGTCCACGGGAACACGTAGACGCGCATGTCCGCTTCGGAGCGGGTGATAAAAGCCAGTAGGCCACGTGCGGCGCCTTTACCGGTTGGAAATATGTCAAGTTTGAAAATTGCTCGCGAATGACCTATTTGGGTTAAGCCACACCGCAACATTGCCCTCCTACTGACTGTGAGACGACTGCAGGCGATAATCGCCGTGAAACATCGATCCTTCGCGATTGACTTGTGCTGTGAGAACGGCACGGATGTGGAATGCATATATTGATCGTTGTCTTGTGGACATACGATTACGATGCATCGAATCATCAAATAGTTGTATTATCCATCAAATCGACGTAGAATTTTGCACATGAGAACAGATAATTCACTTACAAATTTGCAATTGAAATGCCACCGGTTTCCCCCGTGTCAACCGAGCAACGGGGGGGGGGCATTGTTCATCCCCATTGGTTGCCCCTGAACCATTGCCGGTAACTTCTCACAAACTAGTACTTGCTTTAATGACCCCAGTGGTGTGATTGGTTAAGTGGACCCGACTGGGATCTGAACTCATGCTCTTCCGACTGCGAATCCAGCTCTCTCTGACCACGGCGCGACCCGGCCGGATTACTTATACAGAATGTGTATTTATACTGGAGGAATCCGAATAGCTATAAAGCTCTTTTTCACAGATGTCCAGTCGTGCAGACGTCTTCATGCAGAAGTCGATTGACACGGGGCTGTATATGATTATTGATTACTATGTATTATTATTACACACGCGTATAAGTAAGTAACAATACGTAGAACAAACGTGCACACCGATCCTTGCGGCTGTGCACTGTATGGAAATGTTCAAAGGGTTGTTAATAAGATTTGAGAGGGGCATACTAAAATAGGTACCCTGACCTACTGCAGGGCTTATTTGTGACGCCCCGTGCCTGTAGTTCATACATATATATAAAACAAGGAGTAAACAAGATGGAAAGCCAATCCATTAAGAGAAGCCCATGCATTGAAATACGCGTGCAAAACAAAAACCTATCGTGAGTCTGGATTTATAAAGGCCGTGCCTATGTTTAAGCGTGTAAAAGCCGAGTAAAAAAATGAATTGGTGAGACAGGTCCACTGACTAATGAGAAAATCCGACAAGGTATATAAAAATACAGTCAACATGTTTTCTCGAGTAACTTGCAGCAAATGTTGACGTTGGTCCACAATGGCCATTTATTTTCGCTATATTTGGTCACGTTGCACGTGATGCAACGTTTTTTCAAAAAACGATCCATCCCATTTGCCCTGTTAGTTTATATTTTAATGGACCCACTCATTTAGATATATGCACACGGGAATAATAATATTAATGATGTTAGCATGAATCGTGCTCCACGTTTCAAAGTGCAAAAACAAGTCACAGGCAACGTTTTTGTTTACTAGGCACTATGTCTTTTTGTAACGTTGCGAACGTCTGGTGCACGAGGTGACATCAGGGTGCCGAACTGTTTACAGCTCTCATGTTTACGCCACAACTGTAGCTGTAGCCCACTGCAATCCATCTGGGAGACAAGTCTACAAAAAGCCAACGGGCACCGCCAGTGGCCGCAATAATTAAAAGAAAACAGATGCCAGCGAATACATTGCCAGCTACATTGATTGCTTATTGAAGTGATCGCATGCAAGGAGACTGGGCCCTTCCTTACGCGCGTGCACACGTGCAGCTGTTTCAAAGGTGTGCGGTAAACGAATGCAGAGTATCCAGATTACATGCTTAATGAACCAATTACACGAATTAATGCAAACAGGTATTGTTCTCTCATCCGGTACCCATGTACACTGTCACTTTAGATTCGCTGTTTTCGCGAGGCATTCCATGATAATCGTGGCAATATGCACAGGGGTATAATTTAGTTCACACTTGAATTGCAGGTGATTATCAAGTGGTGGGTATTGTTGATATTACTATGGAGCGTAATGACCTACTCCTGCGGATGATCTCACACACATATACACACGTGTGTGTGTGTATGTGTGCGAGTGTCATCATGTGTGGTGGTGTAGCAGTAAGGGCGCTGCGCTACGAACCCAGCGACCGAATCCCGCTCATGACCAATAACAGTGACGATTATCTGAACCGTCCTCAGCCTCCCCTAGGTCGACTCGGCCTCAAATGTATAAACATTGACACACTCGGGAGGCAGAGAGGTGGACGGGGCGTGGTACTGGCCACCCACCCCCTCGTGTGACATGCCGGACATCAAAGATGCTCACGAACAGCATTTGACCCCAATGCCTGTTCAGGCTATGCGGAGGGATCTTTGTCTTTGTCATCATATGTCATCCCCAATGGGGGAATTGACAGCCTTGGATCTCCATCTCTTCCTGTCCCTCATTGTTAGTGCCACCACCTGTCTGCCAGTTCTTGTAAACAAACCGCTTCAATCCGTTGTCCAGACACTTTGTCTTGCCTTTGATCTCTTGCCCTCCATCTCACCCGTAATGCACAAGAAGTCCACGTGCATCACGTGTTTAATCACGTGGCCAAAAACGTTTGCCCCTCTTCGGTCGCTGTACCCATTATGCGTTTTTTTACTTTGCTGTGCTCTTTGTAATTCGTACTTTGAGTCGTTCTTTCATCCCACCTCATTTTCAAGTTTTCTACTTAGAAGCCTCGGCAGGTTCAAGTGTATTTGTCTAACCAGGTGAGAACTTGGAGAAGAGGAGATAGTCCCAGACGAAAAAACAAGCGTGTTGCACGTGTCAACTCACTTCAAGTATTTGCCGGCTTTTGTTCCGTCCCTGTCTTAGTAACAGTCCACGATTCACAGCGGTGTCGCGATGTTGACCAACCGTAACATTTTTCCCATCGTACATTTGCGCAATTGGCGTCGTGGGCATTTCGCGCAAAAACGCGGTGTGTATTTATCTGAGTCTATGTATTGTATGGCGATAAAAGCAAAAATACATACACAGGTCCACCATTTGCTCTAAATAGACCATCCAGAGAAATGCTGTTAGCAAGCATCGATCCAAGGTGAGCATGCCACAGGAGGGAGACAAAGGCGTCCCGGGCTCCACCTGCCCAGATATTTGTGGCATTGTCATGAATCGGGGGTTGTGATTGAATTCAACAAAAGCCTCTCTTTTTGTTCATTTACTGGGGTTAATGCAACAGCCGCTCGTGGTGTCGAGTAAACCCAATACACGCAGCAGCGGCTATATATGAATAAATAAGCATATATGCCTACACACGCTATTCGATTCATCGATTGAACTCGGGTCGCCGGGTTCGTAGCGCAGTGGCAAGGGACTACTTAGCCACCACCACACACACAACACCTAAATATAATGCAGTAGCATCACGTAAGGTATATTGTTCTTTTATTAAATACTTGAATATTCGTATGGATTCCTCGGCACGTAACAATACATTGCCTCTTTTGCGATGTCTTCGCTCATCGATCCGTTAGATTCCTTGTGTTTATTTCAGTAAAAAAAAACAACCTCACACCACCCCCATGCCTCACGCGCAGCCTTATTGAGTGAGGTTGGTCATCATCATCATCGCTTGCCGGCAGTTCTACAACCGACCTGGCGATGCATTATGCAGCACTCCGGTCTCCGTTGCTTTTTGTCATTCTATTGTAGCGGGAGGGGGGGGGGGTCAAATAAAGTGCGATGTTTTAAGATGCCCTGCTTATACGTCGTCATATATGAAAAAGGCATTACCACGTGCAGTCGTTTTCGTCATCACAATAAAAATCAATCCGATGGTTGAAATTAGTGTGTGGTCAATGCAGACTTGATTACATGCAAAAGTTCTAGATTTGAAGCTTTCGTGACTGCAAGGATTCATATTCTTAGGTTTTTTCGGTAAAGTCACGTAGGTAAAAAAATTTAAATTAATAAAAGTTAAATAAAATAAAAATCACGACGTTTCGGAGGCAACACAAGCTTCCGTCTTCAGGTGGAACCGTACGGCTGTCGTGGCTGTGACGGTTCCACCTGAAGACGGAAGCTTGTGTTGCCTCCGAAACGTCGTTTTTTAATTTTATTTTACTTTTGTTAATTTTTAATTTTTCACCTACGTGACTTTACCCAAAAAACCTAAGAATACTTGCAAAAGGTTTCTTTTTTGGTGTTTGAACATCTTAACACCTGTTTTATTGCCAGAAAAGGTAAAACCTATTGTTATTTTTCATAAGGAGTAACAATGTTGGGATTTTTTCCCCTCTAGTTAAAATAGTCAACTATTCAGGTGCTTTCGATTTAAAGCTTTCGTGACTGCAGGGATTCATCTTCTTGGTTCTTTTGGTAAAGTCACGTAATCTGCATATGCCATAAATATGATAAATTGCTCTGTTGATATGCAAATTCTTTTGTCAAGGCGCCCTTCCTCCTCCAACCCAGCTTAAATAAACGCTGCCAAGCCTGGTGGTGTTCATTCAGACGCTGTCTTTCCGACAGACCTGTTCTTCACCTGAGAACGGCTGCTTGCGTTGTGGCCGAAACGTCGTGAGAATTGTATTTTATTATGTTTTATTTTTATTATTTCCCTTTTACGTGACTTTACCGAAAGAACCAAGAAGATATTCAGGTGCTTTTTTAAATTGAATTCATCTTTAAATATGTTTTACGTTTAATTCTTATCAGGTCTCATGTGTAAAGTGTGGTCTCCAACTCTTCTTATCCGCTCTTTCTCTTTGGCCTCTCTATGTATGTGCTATGAAGTAGGGTCATTGACTAAAACGAAAAATGTGTTTTTTAACATTTGTGTTTGTGCACCATTGCCAAAGCTACATTTAGTTTTTATTGTACCGACCTCATTATAAAGTCCCTGTATCTAACACTTTTCTGCATCGAACATGCAATGTTTAAAGTGCCTCATTGACTCAATGACAGTCGGTGTTCTCTGATTTAAGATATTCCCACAACTAACATTCAGTTTAGGCGGTCCTCTGTATATTATTAAATCAAGGTCTCACCATATAAACAATACGTACACATGCCATCACGTCATATTACATGCTGTCAAAAACCAAATGACATCACGCAATTGCTATTATACCTTAACTGTTCCTAAAATTCATTTCAAATAATCAATATGCCAAGCATCACATAACAGAACTCCCTTGAAAAAGAATCTTGGGATTCAGTGAGGCCTTCGCCAGTTATACGGAGGGCGTATGTTAGTTGTTGTCATTAATGCTGCCAAACATATTTAAGTAACGTGTCGATGAGCGTCGTCGACACGTGAATGTTAACGCACGCACACGTTCGCGCGCATCTCGTGAAGAGAAGCGCACGCCGAGACGATGTTTGAGGGCCTCCCAATGATCGGTAAACAATCGCGGCTGTTCTTGTCTTTTTGAGTGTGTTGCCTCCGCGAAAAACAACGGAGCGTTATTAAAGATCGCGGGAGGCAGGACATGAAGTGGCGCCTATGATTCAGAAGGAAGGCTCGTTCCGGGTTTTTTTTTTATAGATTCTTTATTAATTATTCTATTTTATATCTCATTACAGAGCCGAAGCCGGCCGTTAAAGGCACCTCAACGGTCCCGCAGTGCCCGTTTGCCGCTGAGTGTATGGGTGATTCCGTGCCGCGGGGAGGCGTCCAGGGGGGGCATATTTCACGCGGGGCAGCATAAACGTGTCAGCCGTGGCTGACCCGCGGGGTCTACTCAGGTGACAGAATTATGGCTTCGGAGTCTGGGACCTTATTTCCATATGCCAGCGCTCGGGGAGGAGAGGAGCGGGGTAGGGGTACACTCTCGGGTGCGAGCCCGAGAAAATCAATAGCTTTATTTGACCGCAGTGCCAACCCCAGCAGTTAGAATTGATCAATCACAACTGGACGATGTAAAAACATAAACCGCCAGCCAGTGTTGTAGAATAATGTGAAGTTAGAATAATTTTTTTGTACACGCGTAGATCTGCGTGTGTGCGTGCGTGCGTGTGAGTGAATTGGGAGCGGTTAGGGCGCTGCGCTACGAACCTAGCGACCCGGGTTCGATTCCCGCTCACGGCCAACGCCAATGACGACTACCTGAACCAGTCGTAGGTCGACTCAGCATCAAATGAGTACCTGGTGCGGTGTGTAAACATCGCCACGAGGGAGACAAAAGCGGCCGAGGCGTGGTGCTGGCCATCCACCGTTTTGTGCGCCGTGATGGCCTTCATAGGTGCTCGCCAGAGGTGTGGACTCGAGTCATGTGACTTGGACTCGAGTCAGACTCGAGTCATGAATTTGATGACTTGAGACTCGACTTGAACTTGCATAACAATGACTTTGTCCCACCTCTGAGGTGTGGACTCGAGTCATGTGACTTGGACTCGAGTCAGACTCGAGTCATGAATTTGATGACTTGAGACTCGACTTGGACTTGCATAACAATGACTTTGTCCCACCTCTGGTGCTCGCTAACAGCACTTCTCCCGTACAATCTGTTAAGGCCATACGGCGGATTTTTGTCTTCTGTTGAATTCTTCATGCGATATATTGAAAAGTTTTAGCATAGGGGGTTTTGAATCAATTATCATTTTTATTGCATTAACATTGTCTCTGTGGATAGATCACGGGTGACAGATATGCAGATGCGATATCCATTTGTAAATTAGATGACGTGTTTAAGAAACGGAATTATGTGTGTTCTACAGCATTTGCCAGCTCTATGAAAAATCTTATAATTAGTGTCTTTATTGTTGGCTATTTGAAAATGTATTCAAGTGATAATAAAATATCGGCCAAATATTAATGCCAGTAAGTAAATAATGCACAGTAATATAACCAGTTGTCAACGAGGGAAACGTACACTCTTTTTAAATTCAGTTTCCCCGTTGATCATTAGCGTTTGTTTTATGAAAAAACCCTTCAATTTACATTCATATCTTACCGATAAAATAAAATGTTTGGAATATCACCAAAAAAAGAGCAAACATTTGCGCTTCTAAATTTCCCTGTGGGCTCTCTTTATTATGCATCTGCAAAACAATTTGAAAGAAAGAAAGACAGAAGAGGGAACTGGCAGGCAAAAAAGGGGGGCGGAGGGGCGGGTTTCTGCGACTTGCCCCCCCCCCCACCCCTACAACCGTGCTGGGTTATTTCACGAATGAGTGCTAATGTGGATAATGCAGCACCGGTTCCTATTCACCAACCAGTCCCCCCGTGTCCCCGGCCCCCCCGGTCCCCCACCAAAACCCAAAGCCAGCGAACGTCAATACTTTATGCCAGGAGCGTTGGGCGCCGGTCATTACTCATTTGGTAATTACTTGTATACATGCTCGTTAATCCTGATGCTACATCGCAACCCTGCAGCACGTATGCCTCCCTTGTTTTAGCGCTGCTGCCGCCACCGCCGCTGTTGTTGTGTTTTCTCTCTCCAGGCTTGTGGTTGATGTTCATATCTGGCCTCAACGACAGAATGTCGGTGGCGGAGCAGCGGCTCTATCGTTGTGCTCACACACCTGGCGAATGCGAATTTGATATTTTTTTCCCAGCCGTGGACATATTTACCGGATCATCCCATACCCCCCCCCCCGTCACTTCACCGACCCGCGCTAACGGGCAGCGGTGAAGTATGGTCAAACAACCCAACACTTGGTGTGGGGAGGCCTTCATTCGGCAGTTGGATTAGCAATGGGCTATATGTGGCACATTAGGAGTGGATCACTCTTTTAATTATATCCTTGTGCAGCAAGGGAGTAAAGTGTGGTTCTGTGAAAGTCCTGATGTGCTGTGCAGTGCATCAATGCATGTGTGTACAGCAGCACGTGATGACTGAGTTGGCCCTGTATGTGTAATTGGAATTATAGGAGGCATTGGGTGGGTATTGTTACACAATCTTACCCAAACAAACCTCGATTGTGGATGATATTGGTCGCGAAAGCCTACGTGTTCAACTGATTGTTACACTGTTTCAGTCATACCATGAAATGTCTCAAAGTCGTACGGCTGCATTTAATATTCACGAACAAATATGATGCCATTTTAAAAAGTTGCGGGTCACAGTGTCTCCCTGTTCATGTGACCGACCCCTTGGAGCTCGCTCATGTTGCCATAATCAGCCCTGAGACAGTTATGGAAATGTGACATTCTCATGGACGGGGGCCAGTCACTCTGTCAGGTGATGCATTTCTCTTACAGCAACGTGATACTTATTGCATCGTCTGTGGATGCACGAGAGGTTGAAACCAAAATAACGACGTTTCAATGTTTTCCCCCTCATACCGTACTTAATGTGACGTTGCATAGAGAGTTTAATTTAAGCTCGCGTGCAATTTCATCACATGCGAGCGCATTCACACTGTTGCAAAAAACAAATTGCGCGATGCATCAACGCAGACTTTGTTCCAACTTTAATCACTTAACGTAACAGGTACGGACAGCGCGCGTAATAAGGTCATTTAAACTTGGGGCGAAAGACAAGTTAATGAAAGTTTTGGGTCAATAAGCTTTTTACCAGCGATGCTGATAGGGCAAAGGGAAATGGAGCTGTTATAAGAAACAAAATGCATGGCATTTGAAACAACAAGGCTTTGGGGTGGTGTTCACGGTTCACTGGATTTATTGTGCTAACGTCTGCTTAATTCTAACTTGTATTCTTCACTCTGCAATTACTCTTCTCCCCTGCACAAAAACCTCCATCAACTCCCATCATTAACATTGCCGCCGCCACCTTCACCGGCACCGTCGCCGCTACCGCCTCTGCACCCATCGCCACCGCCGTCACCGCCGTCACCGCCCTTCGCGACACGAACCACGCGCAGGTGAAGGTGATGCTGCGCATCTGCCCGTCGCACAGCTGGACGGACAGGGATCTCGACGCCTCCTCTTCTACCTCTTCTTCTCCCTCGTCCTCGTCCTTCCTGAGGGTGGATGGGAACAAGGGGCAAATCATCCTCCAGGACCCCAGCCCCCCGAACGGGTTGCTGAGCCCCCTGGCGCGTCGCACCGGGGTGCTGGCACCCAAGATGTTTGCCTTCGACGGCGTCTTCTGCCAAGATGCTTCGCAGGTGCGGTGCCGTGGCTCCCTCTGGGTCTCATCGGTCGTTTTGGCTGGCCATCGAACAAAGACGGTCACTTGCTGTCCTTCCCACTCCACCTCAGATTAGCACGGTTGGCTACGTACGGTGCGAAAGAAGTTCAACGTACCTACATACTGCATCGCGCGCTTTCAGATGTGCTTCTGGTCTGCGGCCGTCTGGAATGCTCTTTCTTCCGATGTTAGGAAGGCACTGGAGCTGTGCACTTTTAAATATAAATCTGAACGCATTTCTTTAGAACTGCTTTTTTGTGTTTAGTTTGTTATCCTTGCCGCACACTTCCGATTAGCAAGGTTGGAGTTCAACATACATCCATACATCTGCGTTAGTGTCGTGAGCACCAGCCGATAATTGCCTGCCGAAGTCAAATTTACTCGGGTAGTGAACAGCTTCTTGGAATTGCATCGAGAGATAGAAACACGTGCAGGTTATTGACGGCATTCAAGTTGGGAAAGAAAGAAAGCAAAGTTGGCTTTGGGCAGGATGGGTCTCTTGGAAGGATGATGATGACGATGATGGTCGAGAATGATCATGGAGTGGTAGCCAAGGAAGGGAACGTATACGGAGAGCACGTCAACCTCTGAGCTGATAAAATCAGCTCGTTTGCAGGTGCAATCTGGGAGATGGCGGCGGATTGGGGAGGCATTCATCCAGCAGTGGAATGATCATGGCTGCCGATGATGATGATGATGATGAAGTGTATGGTTCACTTGAGAAAGTTAAAGTGTCTATCTGCTCAGGGTAAAGATATAATAAGTACCGCCGTCATGCCCCATTCGGATTTGTATTTTAAGGCCACATACGTCGATTGCACAATTATTAAGTATTAATGATTAAGTTGCACCTCTGATTATCACGGTTGGCTGCGTACGATGCAAAATAAGTTCAACATACACACATACAATTCGTGTAACTACTTAATGAACTACATACAGCATTATATTTATATGTATATCATAATTGGATATTTTTTTAATTTATAAATTAGGTTCCCCCTAACATGTGTTTTAAAATGTTCGCATTTCTTTTCATTAATTTGTATTTTTTAAATGTCATAGCCTACGGTTGTGAACGATGACATTCATATATGTGGGTGTGTGTATGTGTGCGGTAGTGTAACGGTTCGCGCGCTGCGCCAGTAACGATTATTTGAACCAGTCCTGGGCCTCCCTTAGGTCGACTCAGCCTCGAATGAGTACCCAGTGCGGTGGATAAATATCGCCGCTCGGGAGACAAAGTCGGTCGGGCGTGGTGCTGGCCACCCACTCCTTCCTGTACCGTTCCGGCCTTCACAGCTGCTCGCTAACAGCACTTGCCCCTACAGTTAGCTACACTACCACTCCCTACAAACCTGGCGGCCTGGGTTCGATTCCTGCTTGCGGCCAACACCAGTGACGATTATCTGAACCAGTCCTGGGCCTCCTCGAGGTCGATTCAACCTTAACATGAGTACCTAGTGCGATGTGTAAACATCGCCACTGGGGAGACAAAGGCGGCCGGGCGTGGTGTTGTGCCACTCACCCCCTCGTGTGCCATGCTGGCCTTCATAGGTGCTACTCGCAAACAGCACTTGCTCCTACAGTCTGCTCAGGCTATACGGGGGATTTTTGTCTTTGTATGCATATAGTACATATACACTTTTTTTATTACTAACAACCAGTCAAGTATATGCCACTATATATGCATAACACAATGTGTGGTGTCCCACCAGGAATGCTAATGCAGTTTTAATCATTTACGTTATTTAATTTTTTCCCCCCTGCTAACGTAAATTTGAATCGAGATTATTTCCATTCTCTGTGGGGAAACCGGCACTGAAATTGGGGAGCCTTGATTCAAAATTGGAAGAAGAAGAATAAGAAAAAAGGCGGTGAAAACTTAACAGGTGTGAATATTTAATTATAATCATTCGATTTTTTTTTTCATTTGAGCGGCCGCACTGTGAGCACAAAACCATTTAAATTCAAAGTATGTTGGCCCTGGACAAGTGTGCATTATGGTTACAGCAATGAGCTCAACTCTTAGAAATCTGCGGAAGCACCTTGCAGAAGTCATCACTTCTTATCGCCGTCAAATGAATGCAAATTTGAACTGCGTGAACGTGTTCCATTGTAAGCCAAACCGATTCGGGCGGTTTCGTGAAAAAAACACGCATACATGATCATGGGACAACGTTTAGAAAGGAAGGCGATAATATTCCAACTATTTGTGTTTAATTACGTTAACGTGGGCTGTCATATTGAATGCAACATTTTCACAAACCCATTCTTCAAATAAATTCATATGCTTGAAATTAATTAAAAAGCAATTTTTTATCACAACAAACTTTTCTGTAATCATAATCACCTTCATAACAGCAATCAAACACATATGCATGTACGGAGTATTTATTTTTTGATTAATTTCATTCCAAAGTGAAAGCTCCCCTTTTTCTCCAGAGACTGGGGAACCAAGAAACATTACCGAAAAAAGTTGACTCAGTTCATGAATAATTTTCACGTTTCGAATCAGTCATTAGCAACACTTTATAGCCGTTTGTTAATCCACTGCAGGATGAAAGAGGCCTCCATCCTGTGCCGTACCGGTCATGCCGATCAATGCTGGTTGGGGAGGGTTCAGCCCAAGCGCAGTTTGGAAGTTGGTGGAGAGTAAATTGTTTGTGCGTTTAACTTCTTTCGCACCATACGTGGAGTGAATCACGCAGCCAGCTATAGCTGCAGGGTTTGGTGGTACATGTTGTTTATGTCGTTTATTGTGAAAATTCGGTCACAGTTCCTATGATCACTGTTACATTGCTTTTATGGCTTTATTTTGGTGATTTCAAAAAGTTTTTTGGTTTGGCTATGGTTGTTTGTTGTAGTACCGAGTTAGACTGATGGCCTTAATCTAAGTTGTCTTGTGGTTGTTGTTTGACTTGCATCCCACTGGGATTTTTGCACACAGCGTTGGTGTACGGTGCTTTTTCTGCAATATTTTGCTGTCTTTTCTTGGATTTTCTGTTTGCACATAGTCACATAGTCACTTTAAGATGTTTTCTTGTTCATGTTTTAGTTTTTTGCTTGTTGCGGTTGCACCCGATTCAAGAGCCGAATGGCTCACAGGGCTATACCTAATAAATTGAAACTGAAACTGAAAGGTGTTGCGGTGGAAGTACAAACAAACTAAAAACAATTTTTCAAGCTAGATTTCCAAATATATAATTCCCCACCGATGTTGGATGTGATTTGTTGTGCAGTGGCCCAACTGCTGACCACTACAAATGATTAGCAAAAACACACTTTAAGTTGGTAAACTAACCGCACCCACTACCGACCATTTATAAACGCAAAACCAACCGTGCCATCAGATACTCCGCATTGTCATCTGCCGCAACGTAGTTTCATGGTCGAGACGTTGTCAGCAGGAAGTCAATGCGCACCGCAGCGAAGTTTTTGAATTTCCAAAAGCAGAGCCGTACGTTCACCCGTTGTTGCGATGGCACCTTCCCGCCGGGGCTGACCTTTGCCCCCTCTGCCTCCTTTCCCCTTCTCTCTGTGCGCCGCAGGCTGAAGTGTGCGCTGGCACGGTGGCCGACGTGGTGCAGTCCGTCGTGAACGGCGCCGACGGATGCGTCTTCTGCTTCGGGCACGCGCAGCTCGGTAATGCGTTCCCACGCGCACCGTCATTAGCCGTGCGCGCACATTGACGCGGGTGCAATTAGGGGTGGGGGGGGGGGGTGCACGGATTAACCCCATTCCCCTCCTGAGACGTCTGCTAGTTGCAGGGTCGGGGTCCCGTTCACCGCTGAATCTCGGAACACGCGAACGGTTCAGCGTTCATTTTATTCAGAAAGGCGAAGTGCCAATGTTTTTAAAGGCGTCGTACTCACCGTAGAGGACTAGCGACACGACCGCACTGTATGATAGCCACACGATATCCAGCCTCGGTATCAAAACAGTAATCTTGTTAGATTTGTTCATGCGATTCCACTCCGATGATGTACGTGTGTAGGCTTTGATGCCCACACACCGTATGCTCACGCAAGGCCGAGGCAATCTAGGCAAAAACAATGACCTCGACAGTCAGATGGTGGTAACCAGCCGAGGTGCAGCAGTCGTGCCTTGCACATGGGCATAGGCTAAGAGACAGGCACACGAATTCATGCACATATATATGCAGATAAATATACATGCACAATACAGACACCGTTGGCCTGGTGCCGACACAATTGGAGCAAACCCTCAAAGTGTTCGGCGTCAAACGCTGCCCAGTGCACAACACTTGCACGATCTGGCAGAAGGAATGGAAGGAGGAAGGGAGGAAGCGATGAGTGAGGTGTGGGGGCACCAGCAGCGTTCCAAAAAGTGACCACTGCCCTCCGCAGTATGAAAAGGGGCGGGGGAATTTCGATTGCCGCGATGGAACAACCTTCGGACATCGTCAAGTTGAGTGACGCCCGCTGCCGAGACAGCCAGACCCCGACCCGGGGCGAACTCTTCCCCTTCCTCGTGCACGAGCGCAGCAATAACCCTCCCTCCCCCCGGGTCTTTGTGCCCGTCGGCAGGCAAGTCCTACACGATGCTGGGCTGGGACGACGGCCCCCAGAGCCTGGGCGTGATGCCCTGCGCCGTCTCCTGGCTCTACCGGCTGATCGAGGAGCGGCGCGAGAGGGCCGGCGCCCGCTTCTCGGTGCGCGTCTCGGCCGTCGAAGCTGTGGGGCAAGGACGAGCAGCTGCAGGACCTCCTCGCCGACGTGGCCACGGGCCGGGGCGCGGACGCCGACAGCCAGTCGCCCGGCATCTACCTGCGCGAGGACCCCATCTTCGGCACGCAGGTGCTGCTCCCCGCTGGGCGTCGTCGTCGTCGTCTTCTTCGGCGCCTCCGCCCTGCGCCGCCGTTGCTTGCCGCGGTCGTTGCCGGCGCTGTTCGGTTGTTGGGGCGCTGTCGGCGTCGGTCTGTGCGGTTTGCAGTTGCATTTCCGGGGTGCGGGGGGGGGGGGGTAGAACGGTCGGTTCGTCAGCGGGGGATTGTCGCCGAGTCAAAGCGCGTCCCGGTCAGGTGTCGAACTGTCACAGGATCTCTGCAGGGATGTAGTCAAATGAACCCAGCTTTAGGGAAAATCACCGGTGGCTTTATGCTATTTGATTGGGAGATTGGCCCTGCTGGGAAAATGTGGAGTTTCCACCACTGGCCTACCCCCGCCCACCTTCCCCCTGCCTCCCCCCCACTCCCTGCCAAGTTATTATTTTTTTACTAATTTTAAACCACTTTTCTTGTACCTCTTATGTTTTATTCCGTCTCATTTGTGCAGCTCCATTGCCTAAAGGTAACATTTGTGTGGAATTTTCATATCATTTGATCCATTACATTATGCACAAATAGATGCGTGCATGTATCTGAAGAGTCTTAAGAATCAATTTTAATCGAATAAACGGATGCATCGTTGCATGAATAAGAAAATAGACTTTACACACAGCTCGTATTGACTCAACATCCTCCCCCTTAGCCTGTAACATGGCGCCGCAGTGGCGAAATGTTAACTCACTCGCCTGGTATGCAGGAGGTCATGGGTACGATCCAGACCGTGACGCTTGCATATTTGGAGTTTGCATGTTGTCTATGCCCATGGTGGTCACGTGGATTTTTCTCCAGGTCCTCCGGCTTTCCCCCCCCCCCCCCCCCCCCCCACATTTAGAATCAACGTCACACTTTCAGAGCATTTGGCTGCTATAAATTAACACGCAACGATAAGCGACTTCGTTGGTGGCATCATTCGTGATATCCAGAGATCGCTAGCTCTACAGCTCAGCAGGGGCCTCAACTGGTAAAACTAAAACAGTTAAATGGCCGTACCACCGACAACTGTGCCTCCTCCCCCCCGCTCCCGGACCCACAACCGCCGCCGATCGCCGATCTTCGCCGTCCGGCCATGCTGACCGCCTTATCGCCCTCCCGCCTGACGCAGCTGCAGAACCAGAACGAGCTGCGGGCCCCCACTCCCGAGATGGCCGCCTATTACCTGGACGCGGCGCTGGCGGCGAGGAGGTCGGGACGGCCCGACTGCGAGGAGGAGGAGCGGCGCAGCGCGCACATGCTCTTCACCCTGCACGTGTACCAGTACCGCATGGACAAGACGGGCAAGGGCGGCAGTGAGTCCGGGAACGTTGGTGACACGGGAGCGAGTTGCGCGTGACGGCGGCGTTCGGGTCGCTCCGTCTCAAGCTGCCCCCCCTGCTTGAGACGCTCGGGCAGCCTGGCGCCCTCGCTTGCTCGAGGCGCCGCAAGCGAAGCGAATTTGTTACTGGAAGGGATCGATTTCACCCGCACACGAGAGGGTGGTGTGTTCAGCACTCTGTCCGGCTACCTTAACAATATATAATAGTAATCAGTATGTAAAGAGCATTCTAGATTTGAAGCTTTCGTGACTGCAAGGATTCATATTCTTAGGTTTTTTTCGGTAAAGTCACGTAGGTAATTTTTTTAAAATAAAATAAAAATCACGACGTTTCGGAGGCAACAAGAAAACGGAAGCTTGTGTTGCCTTCCGAAACGTCGTGATTTTTATTTTATTTTCAGTTTTACTTTTATTAATTACATTTTTTTTTTTACCTGCGTGACTTTACCGAAAAAAGCCTAAGAATATGTATAGAGCACTACAATTCCACAGATTCTAAGGCAATGGTGGTTACTTCGGTTGTTAGAACTCTACCACCTGCTTGGGGTCGAGCCGGATTTAAGATGTCTCTAAGAGGCCGGTAAATATCCAGCGCAAAACCCACCTGCACCCTGACTGCAACCCATGCTGGTGTAAAATAAGGGGGGGATGGGGGGGGGATGGTGGCGGGGCGTGCCGTAAGGGAAAGACGTGCAGCCGATGTGACTAACGTGGGTACACTTTTGGAGACTGGTTGCAGCAACAACAGCGCGATTATAGCGGAAGGGAGGGCATCGATGGCGAGCCGTCGTGCCATCCTCGCGTCGATAATAACCCCCGTAACAAACAAATGTAAATTTCGATTTAAAGCTTTCGTGACTGCAGGGATTCATCGTCTTTGTTCTTTCTACGTGACTTTACCGAAAGAACCAAGAAAAGAAATGTAATTTTAAAATCCCCACGTCCGCGCGCTCGCTCGCAGTGACGGGCGGGCGGAGTCGACTCCACCTCATCGACCTGGGCAGCTGTGAGCGACCGGTGCCGAGCCGGGGCGCATCTCAGAGCCCCGCGCTCTCCCTCTCCTCGCTCGGCAACGTCATCCTGGCGCTCGTCAATGGCGCCAAGCACATCCCGTACAGGTGAGGGCACCGCGGGGTGGGGGGGGGGGGGCGGGCCGGCGGGGGGGTTTGGCGCCCCCGCAGTTGAAGTCTCGCGCCGGCAGTGTTGTTGTTCCAAAGAGCTGACGCCGCGGGCAGTCGCTGTCACTTTGCGCTCCCGTCGTGTGCTCTGTGTACCGCTCGTTGTTGTCACGTTCTGACCCCGTGCCCCCCACCCCCGACTGGACACCTGGAGGAGAGTACGCGATAACAAACGTCCCGCCTTACTGACTGCGGTGGCTTTATTTCTCACCGAATATCTTTCCGCCCCACTGGTCGACTTTAATTCGGAATATGTGACGAGCGGTAAGCCACAGCCGTAGCCAGAGGTGTAATGGATGTCGCATCGCGAGTGTGCTCTGTGCAGAGTGCGGACGCCGCTGCCAGGTGTTGAGGGTCAGCGCCCATTTGACCTTCGTGGGCCACGTGGCAATACGCCAGTTCGCGCATTTTCGAAGGCGATTCCTACGCCTACGATGCGCATGTCCGATTGGCCCCTGAGAATCGGTCACGCGCGCTGCATGCGATTTGAGCGGCATCGCACAGACGCCAAGTTTCTAACATGGGCTATTTTTCTGCCCCCTTCTAATATGTTCACCCAGAGGTATGCATTGGAACACCGGCACGTCACGTTTGGTAAAGTACGGTTACTCCCACCTCTTCCAAGCGTGGAAGAGAAGGCCAAATTCCCTCTCATAGGGACCCTCTAGAGCTCCCCCTGGTGGTGGGAGAGGGAGGGGAGAGGCTCTCACCAGCAGTGTTGTGAGCAAGCAATTTCACGGGTGCACCTTTAGGTTCATATTCTTAGCCTCACCTTACCATATGAATAAAACGTGTGCCGTACTTGGTCCTTCCCCCCTCTCCAACCATTATATAAACGGAGTGGTAGCTCTTGCAATCTCTCATTTACTTGATACAGCTGTCGTGGCTGTGACGGTTCCACCTGAAGACGGAAGCTTGTGTTGCCTCCGAAACGTCGTGATTTTTATTTTATTTTACTTTTATTCATTTTTATGTTTTACCTACGTGACTTTACCGAAAAAACCTAAGAATATGAATCCTTGCAGTCACGAAAGCTTCAAATCTAGAATTAATGCACCTTTAGGTGTTTAACCTTTACTTGATGTGCTCATACCCTGCATTAGCTTGGCAGGAGTAGGGAGTGATGCCTCAACATATATTGAGGAGGGATGGTGGTGAGGGAGGGAGGTGGGGTGGGTGTGGATGCGGAGCAACAAACGATATAACCACGCTAGCGGAACCGATGTGGGTGACGGGCGAGCGGCTTGCGGGGATCTTGGGTCGGGCGGTCGGTGCGAGGGAGGGGACCCACCGATAAAGATTTTATTCAGCAAGGGCGCCGGGCCCCGTCTGCCCCGACCGCTCTGAATCAATAATGAGACATCAGGACTGACAGCTGCTGTATAACAGCCCGCAATCAGGGTACACGAACGTCAATGCGCCAGCAACGCACCCCTATTGAACGCCTCGGCCACAGTCGATCGAGCCGTCGACCGAGCGGCGATGGAATCGGGAGGAGGAATCACTTTGCAAAATTGCGGCAGAGAGCGAGAGGGGGTGAGAGGGGGTGAGTGGGTGGGGTCCAAGCCGGCACAGGGCATATTTCACGGGGCTCTATCACATCAGCCGGAGTGCATTTGCCACCGAGGCGTGTCTCAGCGCGGACGGACTGAGGTGCGGCACTTGCAGCTTGTCCTGAAAGTCCCACTGCCGGTGTGTTTGCACGAGCGAGATAGAGACGCACGCCACGTGCTTGAAGGCCGTTTTCGGCTCGTGGCATTGCTGTGCCCTTCCAGAGACTCAACTCGCAATGGGAAAGGCTCGAAATCAACTCCTGCTTCGGCGGTCGACGTTGATTAGCTCGCAGCTCCGGCGTAGTTGATATGAGGATCGCCTCTGTCGGGGAAACGTGGAATTTCCACCATCGATTACGCTCTGGAATCAGAGTAGTGTGATAGGGTTATGGCTTCCGCCTTTGGTGAATAAGTGTCAGCGACATGTCTTTTGTACGAAAAAAACAGGCATAGGTTTTGCCATTTCTGGCAAATGAAACAGTTGTGTTAAGATGTTCCAACACCATAGAGACGCCTTTCGCAAGGAATCACGTCTGCATTAACCACACGTACTTGTGGTGAACATGCAAACAAATATGATCTGATAATAGATGGCATTGCCTTTGAAACTGATTTGCCTACACCAGAGACAGCAGCCTTCTTCATGGCCTAGTCTCACCACCAGGGTCAGACCAGAGAACGCCAAAAGCGAACAGTACAAGGACAATGCCACTACTCTTTGTTTTTTTCGGTAAAGTCACGTAGGTAAAAAAAAAGAAAAACAACTAAATTAAATCACCACGTTTTTTTGGCTGTAATGATTCCACCTGAAGATGGAAGCTTGTGTTGCCTCCGAAACGTTGTGATTTAATGTAGTTGTTTTTCTTTTTTTTTACCTATGTGACTTTACCGAAAAAACCAAAGAGGTATGAATCCTTGCAATCACGAAAACTTCTAATCTAGACAATGCCCATATATTATCAGAACATGTTTATTTACATCTTCACCACAAATACGTGTGTTCAATGCAGCCATGATTCCTTGCAAAAGGTTTATATTTGGTGTTTAAACATCTTAACACAACTGTTTGATTGCCAGAAAGGGTAAAACCAAATTTTTTTTTTATGTCATACTTTGATACTGGCAAAAAGGTCCCAACGTGTCTTTTGTAAGGCATTGCTCCTGAAACACTGATCTTAAGTAGTTGTGGGCTACATTACCTCCGGTCTACATACAGCAGTGTGGCAATTAATATTTTAAGGGCAATTCTTTGAGCTGTAGTTTAAGGTCAATTCTGTATCGATATACTCTGATCTCGGGCACATTTTTGATTCACAAACTTGGCCGGTATTAAATTTTGATTTAAAGCTTTTGTGACTGCAGGGATTCATATTCTTGGTTCTTTTGGTAAAGTCACGTAGAAGGGAAATAATAAAATAATAAAAATGTGGATTTCACACCTGATGATGATTGCTTGTGTTGCAGTCGAAACGTCGGGAGAATTGTATTGTTTTATATTTTTATTATTTTATTATTGGTCGGTCTTGCTTAGAGTGTGTACATTGACTCATATTGGCATCACCAACCACTGCCATCCATTACCATCCGCAATTTTAACTCTCGGTCTCCTTAATCGTAATTACGGCTGCGACAACCCACGTGTTCACTTAAAGGGACCGCGACTTCATAACGATTTTCTTTGGCTGCGTAACGTTAACGTCCTCCTACCCCCCCGCACGCTCACACGTGGTCCCTGTGTGTTTAGGGACAGCAAGCTGACGATGCTGCTCCGAGAGTCACTCGGGAACATCAACTGCCGCACCACAATGATCATCCACGTGTCCCCGCTGGCCGCACACTACCCCGAGACGCTGTCGACCGTGCAACTGGCCGCCCGCATTCACCGCATGAGAAAGAAGAAACCAAAGGTGGAGAGAGATTTTAAAAAATCTTATTTTTTTGGAACTGCATTTTTTGTGTTTACTTACTTTTTTTCCTTCTCCCGCACCTCCGATTATCACTTTTGTCTACGTACGGTGCGAAAGAAGTTCAACATTTTTATTTTGCTATTTTTATTTTACCAGGTAAGGCCCACTGAGCTAAATACAGTAGCTCTTTTTCAGAAGCGACCACAAATGATAGCTTGATGAAGTGGCTTATCACGTATAAACTTATATCAGCCAAATACGAATGTTGATTCGAAATGTGGAGGGAAAAACCGAAAGACCCAGTGAAAGATCCACTCAACCATGGGGAAAGCATACAAACTCCAAATATACAGCAGCAGGCATCAGTGTCGGGATTGAACCCGCCAACCTCCTGCATACCAGGCGAGGTAGTCAACATCTCGCCAACCGCGGCGAGATGTTACGACCACTCCTCGGATCCACCGTCACCGTCATCATCAACGTCGTCACCACCGATAAACTGCCGCGTGAAAGCCTCCGCCAAGTTGTTCACCGTCTCTCACGGTTCTGCGATGGAGGTGACCGTTCACCTGGCGCCCTGTGGACGATGAGCTACGGCCATCGCTGCGTCCTCTCCAATGCGTTCCATTCCTTGGCCGCCACTACGCCATTCTTCATCAACATTTCATTTTGCAGATTTAAGTACGAGTTGTCCGAACATTCCACAGCTCTCTCGCAACAGGCCGCGGGTACACAGTGAGGCTTTCTTGAATATATGTAGAGCTGTAATAATGCTATTAATTATATCTATATGCAGTAGACTCTCGATTATCCGTGCTAATGACGGGGAGGACGGCCGCGGATAATTCACAATTGCGGACTATTCAACAAGTAAACGCGTAAAAACAAAGTTTTTCACTATAAATCCTTTATATGCGTGGCGGCTAGAGTCTTCTCGTCCTCTGGCTTGAGGTGGCTGCCACCTATGGGTCAGATGATTGTCTGCCAGTATTAAGCAATTGGTAATTAAATATTTAATTTGTTTTCCCTAAACAGTGTAAAATTTTGGGAATTTTTTTTCACGAACATTAATTGTCTCGCACAACGAGTCTGTGTGGAAAATGTCAGCTCGATTGGATCACGGGAAGTGGGTTAAAAAACGACCGAAAGATTTGCACGGTCGTAAGCAAGCAAGCAAGCATGCAAGCAAGCAAGCAAGCAAACTTAATATAAAGGATTTAAAAATAGAACCATTCTCTATGCCCAAAACCACTAATACAGCCGTAAACTAAAATCACGAAATAACTGATCGGATAAATTACTCTTTCGATTTAGAACGAATACCAATAATCAACCAATCGATGCCCATGCTCAGTGATGACGCTCCCACGCAGAAGAGCCCGCCCACTAAGTGAATAGCAGAGCCACGCCAATCAACATCAACCAAACTCCGCTATCTGTCGTAAAGATATGCAACTACTGTATTGTAGAGGAGATCACGTGGATTTTAGATAAACCGGCGCACATATTTGCTTGCTTTAAGAATGTGACTTGTAATGAAACATTTCAAAGAATAACAACGTGTAACAGTGTTTAGATCATTAATTTGGACTTAAGAGAAAATCACTGAATTATTAATTGATGTAAAAAAAATCTCGGTCAATCCGCAAATCGGATAAATCGCACGTGGATAATCGAGAGTCGATGGATGACAATTTGGTCAGATTGCTTGACTCGTAATCAAAAGATCGCGAGTTCATATCATGCTCAGAAGTTGACTCAGCCCATCATCCCTCGGGTATCATGGATAATTTTTGTTGTTGTTGTTGATAATTTCTTGTTACGGTTCTGTGATTAAACAGATGACATGTAAGTGTAGGTGCATCGTCATTAGCTGTGAACGAGGCTCGTTCATTGGAATTAAGATGATGGATGGGTTATTTGAAATAATTTCCCACTGATTTAATTTGAAAAGAGGAAGAAACATCTTATTTTGAACGTAATGGATGTTTTTGTTTGCATGTGAGAATGCGCTCATCTGATGATGTGGTTCATTTGGACACGTTGCACATTGCATTGCCTCCTTGCACACACATGTGACATTTATTTTTAAACGTGAAAACCTCTTGCACTATGACATTGAAACGAAAAAAAACCTACACATTTTTTAAGCCAATTAGTTCGTAATTAATTATCCACGGAACGATAGTTTTACTTGGGATAAAAAAAAACACTAGTTTGAATCGACTACGAATTATTTTTGTGAAAATAAGTTGCTGTTTGCTCTCTCCTGAAAATAACGAACGTTATTAAATGAAAAAATTACCATTTCCATTAAGTAGTTTTTTTATTTGATATGCAATAAAAGTAAATTATAATAACGCAATTAAAGTTCCCGATGGATTTGATTAAATTTATTTCAAAACAGATTTAATACGAATGAGACCGAACGTGAGATATGGGTTACCGTTCGCGTCGTTAAAATTACGTAACCTGAGATGTAGGTGATGCACCTTAAGTGTTTATTGAAATTATGAAGTCGAGCATGCAAAGCGTTAAATACATTGGACATTAAATGACTGAGCAGACGATCCAGGTTATTGATGAGACTGAACACACCGGTCAGCCAATGACAGGCGTTGGTCAACAGAGTCCCTTGAAAACATTGGTCAGTGAATGAACAAATGAAGTAATGGCAAACGAGAGAATGAATAATGGGCAATCAGGTACGAAATAAAAAAAACACTGCCTGGCAAATGCACGTATCAGCGACCACGTCGGCCAATTCAAAATGAATGAAGCAATGCCAAAGAATTACCGTAGATCATTCTTCACCTTAAAAACATTTGGAAATTAATTAAGAGTCCGCCTATTTAATGAAACTCAAAGTTTGAGGATGAATCAAACTCAAACTTTTATGAATTAATTGCTAACAAATATACAAATATATGTATAATCATTATAACTTATTTGCCGAAAACAAAACGGACGCCGCTTCAACATTAACGATTAAACGTGCAGCCCTTTGTCAATCCGCTGCCGGACGGAGACCACGCCACTCCATGTCGGTTACGGGGGGGGGCGGTTAAACCGGGGGGGGTTAACCGGGGTGGGTTTAACCAAGCCTCGTTGTGGCAGTGACTAGCGAGTGAGCGGGTTGAGTCACGCCGACCGGTGAACTGAAACTTGCCCCGCTATGCGATCGCCCCACCAGTACGCGTCGAGCTCCTCGGGCGGGGATAGCTCGTGCGAGGAGGGCCGCGCCCGCCGCTCGCCCCTCGCCCGCCCGCTCCACCCTCGCCTCGTGGCTCTCGACCCGGACATCCCCTGCGGCGGCGGCGGCTCGTCCCCGCGCTCGTGCCGCCGTGAGCAGCGCTCCTCCGAGCCCGACTACTCGAGCAGCAGCGAGCAGTCGTGCGACACCGTCATCTACGTGGGGCCCGACGGTGGCGTGCTCTCCGACCGCGAGCTCACCGACAACGAGGGCCCGCCCGACTTCGTGCCCATCATCCCGTCGCTGGGCCGCGAGCCGGCGCGCCGCGAGCCACGCTCGCCCGCCGTCGGGGGGCCCCGTTACCCCGACCGCGACCGCCTCAAGTGCAGCACGTTCGCCGAGCTGCAGGAGCGGCTCGAGTGCATCGACGGCAGCGAGGAGCCCGACGAGTTCTTCGCGGAGACGGCGCGACGGGAGGACGATGACGACGAGGAGGACGACGAGGAGGAGGAGGAGGCGACGGCTCCGGCGGCGGCCCGAGTGGCGACGACGGAGGAAATCGTCGCGTCCTCGCCGCGGCAAGGGCCCGAGAGTCGGAGGGTTCCGGGAAAGTCAGCCCTGCCCAAAGCGCGGGGCACCTCCTCCTCCCTCGTCACCGCTACCGTCGCCGCCATCTCACCGCGCGGCGCCGCTCTCGGCTGCACCGCGGCCAACATCATCGCGCAGTCAAGCCGGGCCGCCATGCTCAGGGACGCGTGCAAGCAGCAGTGCCAGGCAGTCATCGCCAGCGGGGAGCGAGCTCCGAGGAAGCCGCAGGTCGGCTCGCCGCAGCCGCGCAGGGCGAAGCCTTCCGCCAACGGCAAGGGGCCTCTGCCCAGCCCCGCGCCCCCACCCCCTTGCTGCAGCGACATCGTTGCTACCGGCAGGGCGGCGCAGGAAGGGCCGGCGGTCGAGCTCCGTGCCCAGGGGACCCGGACGCCCCCGGTGGGCATGAGCCTCCCCACGAAAGCGGGCGGCGAGGCGGCGGGCGCCGGCGTGCGCGCCAGGACGGTGACCGTGCAGCAGCCGCTGGAGCTGAGTGACGAGGATGTGCTGGTGTTCGCGCTGGTCGAGGAGCTCACCTTTGGCGGGGTCCTGGGACTGCAGGACTGCTCGGGGTCGCCCGGCAAGCATCATCAGCTTCGCGAGCAACTGCAGCGTGCAGGCGCTCGCCTCGGGCTCGAGGCCCGTCAGCATCATCAGCAGCATCATCGACGACTCTGACTACGACCCTTTCCCGGCCGTGTCGCCCGTGAGCCCGGTGGCGGCGCGTGCCGGGGCGGTGGCGGCGGTGGCGCAGGACGCGTCCGCCGTGAGCCGCTGCTCGTCGGTGAGCTCGTGGCTCAGCGAGGTGAGCGCTGAGAGCCTGGGCAGTGAGGGCGACCAGTCGTGCGACAGCTTCGTCATGCAGTCCTGCGGCAGCCTGGGCAAGGAGTCGGTGGACGCCCTGTCGCTGGACTCGCGCGACCTCATCCCCGACGGCCTCGGCGGGGGCGGCGGCAGCAGTTCCGTCGGCGGGACAGAGCACGCTCCACGACAGCGGCTTCTCCACATCGGAGGGCGAGAGCAAGAGCTGCAGTAGCTCCTACAAGCTGTCGTCGACTGCGAAGGCGAGCAAGTCTGCCGGCAAGCTGCCACCGGTGCCCCCGTGTAAGCCGGCAAGCGATGGCAAGAGGACCGCTGGGCTCAAGAGCGGCCTGCCGCAGGCCGTGAGGACGGTCGGCCACGCGCCGTCGAAGCCGGAAGCCGAGAGGACTGACGCGGCGCAGGGCGGCCACAAGCCTCCATCGCCGCCAGCTGCTGCCGCTCAGCAGCCCAAGTCGACCGCCCCGGCGGCAGCGGCACCCAAGCAAGGCGGCGGCAGCGGCCGCTTCGATGACCCTTGGAAGAAACGGGATGAAGGCATCGGCTGCGGGCAGGCGTCTGGCCGCGCAGGCAAAAGTTGTTCGGGCCAGTCGAAACAACAGAGCAAACCGAACAAAGCCAAGCTTTTAACCGGCGGCGCGGGAAGCTCGGCGAGTAAAAGCACGTCGTCGCCGCTCGGCGGTGGCAAAGCCTGCGACGGAGGCATCGCGACATCACCGCCTGAGAGTCTCACCGCAGCCGGCGCCACCGCTCGATGGGCCGGCAGTGCGGAGAAAGCGGGGGCCCCCGCTCTGCTGCCGACCAGAGGTGCGGAAACACACGGCTTTGCCGTGACGGGAGCGAGGACGATGGCTTCAAATGCGAGGGGAGGTTGCGGTGCGTACGAGACGCGGCCCAGCGGGCCGGAGAAGGCCGCCTCGTTGCCGAAGCAGAGCATGCTCCCCAGGCTCAAGGGCGCCCCTCCAGCACCTCCGGTGCGGAAGTCCAGCTTGGATCAGAAGAACAGGGCAGGCCTTCCCGTCAGCGCGCTCTCAGAGCCCGCCTTGTCCTCGAAAGCTCTGGCGAAGAGGCCGGCGCAGAGCGACGCGGAGGCGAGGGTCGTGGTTGGAGAATACGGCGGTGGCGGGCGCTCGCAGCAGCAAGGGAGGGGCGTCGAGACGGGACAGAGCCAGGCGTCTTACGGAGCCTACCCGCACAGGACTAACGTGAGCCTGCATAGCAGCATCCTGTCCCTGCACCGAGCAGACAGCCTCACGTCCTTGAGCTCCCGAGGCAGCCTCGGCAGAGAGGGCAGCGGCAGGAGCGGCGGGAAGAGCTCCGCGAAGGCGATGATGATGATGATGATGGGAGCGGCGGTCACCTCGAGGGGGGCCGGCGGTCTGCCTCCGCTCAACGTCTCATCCAAGTCGTGCGGCGGCGCCGCCAAACCGCCCCCGTCGGCGCTCGCCGGCGCCAAGTGCTCGCCGGCGTCCTTTGCCGGGACCTCCAAGCCACGGAGCATGTCGGCCAGCAGTTCGGCGAGGACGGCGCCGCAGGGCGCGCCGCGGAGCGCCAGCGTTCCCTCCACGCCCAGGACCGTGGCTCGGACGGTTCTGTGCAGCAACAACAACGCGGCCGCCGCCAAGCACGGCCGGGGAGGGGCGGCGGCCGGGGGCGGCATCGGTTGTCCCGGCGGCGGCAAAGCGTCGGCAGGCGTCAGGATTGTGACCAACAGCCGGGTGACGGAGCTGGCCCTGAACGGCGCCGCCTCGCCCACCCCGTCGCCCCCCAAGGTGAGCCACCCGCGGCGCTCCACCGACTCGGACAGCGGCAACGACAGCGGCGTCAACCTGCCGGAGTCGCCCACCCCGCGGTTCGGCGGGGCGCCTGGCGGCGTGGGAGGAGGCCCCGCGGCTCCGGGCTCGCCGTCGGCGTCCGCGATGCTCCTGCAGCTGCCGTCGCCCTACAGCAAGATCACGGCGCCGCGCAAGGCGCGCTACAGCAGCGGTCACTTCAGCGACAACAGCAGCGTGCTTAGCGGCGACCTCCCTCCGGCGATGGGCCGTTCGGCCATCTTCTACCACGCGGGGGGGGGCGGCAACGGAGGCCCGGGCGGAGGAGGAGGCTGTGGTGGAGGTGGCGGCGGTGGCGGCGGGGGCGGCGGCGGTGGTTGTGGCGGAGGCTCGGGGGGGAGCAGCGGGTACGAGAGCGTGCTGCGGGACAGCGAGGCCACGGGCAGCGCGTCGTCGGCGCACGACTCGGCGAGCGAGGGGGGCGGCTGCGGCGCGTCCGGGATGGCGAGCGAGCGCTCGCGCAGCCTCAAGTCGCTCAAGAAGAGGGCGGCCACCGTAACTTCCGGTACGTTTGTGGTTGGTGGCTGCGGTGCATTCGTGGCAGGGGGCCAGTCTCTGCCATCGGACAACCAGTGTTGACTTCCGGCAAAATGGTTATGTATTTTATCGGCCGTGGAGGATTTGATCTGTGATGAGCTGAGTTGACTGCCACTGCAAGGATAGGATCTGGTAGCCTTGCGATTGTCAGTCGAGCCCAGCCATGGTCCTGCCTGGCTGGGTGAGTAACTGATGTTGTTTGTTGATTGTATTAGTAAGCATGCCATCTGCCTCGATATTATTTTATCAGTGCTGCCCTTCTGCTTTTTTGTTAATCAGAAGAAGATCCCATGGTGTTTCATTGTCAACATGAATTAACCTCGATACAGTGCCTGAGTGCATTGATAATTAACAAGTGAAAGACTAATAAATACAATTAAAATGCCATAATCACACGGAAATGCACGTGCTTCCTTAATTATCTGCAGCATATTAAAAAACATTCAGACGCTGTTTGTGAAATTTAAACGGACAATTTAAGATACTCACAACATTTAGCAGAACCCAGCGCTGCTTGGAGCTATAAATAAATGACACGAGGGCAATTTTGTAAAATACGTAACACGCGAAGAAGAATAAACAAAGTGAGAACAAGAAAGGTGACCCATTGGCCCACTTGTGATATTAAAATGCACATGATGAAAAGCAGACATTGAAATGGCATTCCGACTGATGTGGAGTGACGTATTGAAAATGCAGACATGCCAAGTACAAACCGACTGCCTCTGTTCCAAAAAAAAAACCTATCAGAATGAATTTTCCCAAATGCTATTGAAAATTCAGTAGCCGTGCTCTCCTTATTTATTTATTTGCTCGCTTTCTCATCTTATATTTTATCCCCAGTAAGCCTCAAGGTTAGAAAGTTTCATATTCATCCAATCTTTCACCTTTTACACAACTGTGCTGGATAATGGCAAAAATGCGCTATAACGTTGAGATAGAATGGGGGGGTGGGGGGGGGGGTGGAAAAAAAGTATTGTGCTGTATCTACTTCGACTCGGTATGCCCGCAGAGTTTACAGGAGAACATAAACGGTCGAGTCTTCGCCCGGCCAAAGTGCCGCTCCTCTGTTTGCAGATGAACATCCCAGAGCGTTGGTTTTTCTGTGTGCTGCTGCTGTCATTGACTCACGTTCATGCACAGCACGGTTGCACATAGCCGGCAGTCATTGCCTTGTTGACACGCGTTTGATTGAAGAAACTGAATTCTCAATCCTCCGTTTGTGCACAATGCCTAGGTTTTCGCAGCCGTAATTACTATTATTATTAGTCTGACTTTATACAAAGCGCTCACAGAAATTCGTGCACCTTACGATTTTCGGGTGAGGCCGCTTAATGTTCTGGCCAAATATTTAGTTTGTTGTCATGTAGCCCTCCACCACCCGACATAGCGAATTAAAAATGTGTATTGTCGCGTGAGCAAGCGGTACAGTCTCTAAGGCTAAACGGAGAATATTTGACTCTGTGTGTTGATAACAGTGGGAGAGCAAATGTTTCACCAGGGTGGCAAATTCAACTCATGGTAAAAAATCGACCACGTGGTTTGATGCTGAATGCAGTGGCCGGCATCCCGCACAATTTGAGCGACTTTGAAAATATTCACTTTTTGACCTTCATACGTGCGCGTCAAAAAATGTTACACGCTGCGTTAACTGCTCGGCGCCTTTTATCGAGCACGTAATTCTTAAACCCTAAATGAGTCCAAAGCGTGACCCTAACCAGAGAAAAGAAACCTGTGGCCATAACCCCCCTGTCTCTTATTAGTGTGGGCCCACCGTCAGGGTGGCCTCTGGCCTCTAACATGTCGCCCTAATGTGTAAAGTAACCCTGTGATTTTGCAGTGATTTTACGGAATAGTTCAATCATTTGAAAGTTTCGATTTAAAGCTTTCGTGACTGCAGGGATTCAACGCAAGCAGCCGTCCTCAGGTGAAGAACAGGTCTGTTGGAAAGACAGCGTCTGAATGAGCGACGCTGTCTTTCCGACAGACCTGTTCTTCACCTGAGGATGGCTGCTTGCGTTGTGGCCGAAACGTCGTGAGAATTATTTTATTATGTTTTATTTTTTATTATGTTATTATTTCCCTTCTACGTGACTTTACCGAAAGAACCAAGAAGATAATTTGAATGTTTTTTTTTCAAACATACATCGTGCTTTTAGCTTTGGACAGTGTACCTTTCTATTTGCCTTTTCCCATTCTGGGACTACTACAAGTTGCATGGTGGGTCCCGAGCGGGGTGAGTGTGGTCAACACCATGCCTGGCCATCTTTATTTCTCTCACGTTTGTATATACACACCGTTTAGGGTGCCACTTCAAGGCTGAGCAGATCTAGAGGAGGTCCAGGTCCGGTGTAGATGTCACTCCACCGGTCCTGGACCGCTGGAGTGACATCTAGTGCTCCCCGTTCGCACACTCACAGACAATTTCTGTTCGCGCGCATTTATTGGGTACTCATTTTGGACTGAGCCGACTTAGATGTGGCCCTGGGTAAAGTTCAGAAACCAAATGTTGCTCGTGTTCTGGCCTAGCAGCAGTGGGGACTGCAGTGCAATGTGTGAGTAGTCTCTCGGTGACCTTTTTTTTTATAATCCGTTCCACGAAAACTACCGTTAACCGAACGAACTCTTAATCGAATATCGGAATTATTACATGTTTAAAAGCATGACTCTGCAATGTAAACAAAAGCCAGTCGAGTTCTAAACGCTCACAAATGAGCGTCGCTGATTGGCCGATGCATGCTCAGCCCCACTTACGAGTGCTTTGATTGGCCGAAATTGGCGCCCACGTGCATAACGTAAACGTACCGTTAATCAACAACGTTAAAGCCAGTCGAAACCAGGGTTGCGATTTCCGCATGGAAAATGCGGAAGGAGGGTTCAAATTTTCCCGCATTTTTGCTAAAGTCAACCGCAAACGGTGGAAAGACTACTCCTATGACCGCGCGCTTTTAACAACACGTTAATGCGTTCTATTGGAAAGGATACATCATGTACATGTGCTCGTAATCACGGCTCCGCATTTGAATAAAGTATGTGGTTCTTGTGCGGAAATGCGGAAATCATATATTCATTCCAATCAGTAACTCAAAGCCCTACGTGATGCTGGGCCTTGCATGTATCCTTTCCAATAGAACGCATTAACGTGTTGTTAAAAGCGCGCGGTCATAGGAGTAGTCTTTCCACCGTTTGCGGTTGACTTTAGCAAAAATGCGGGAAAATTTGAACCCTCCTTCCGCATTTTCCATGCGGAAATCGCAACCCTGGTCGAAACCATGGAGTCCTATGGGCGGCTGAACGTTAACCGGAAAACCGTTAACCGATGTCACTGTTTACCGAGGGACTACTGGTACTGCTAACCACTACAAACACGTGCGTGTATATATGCACACACTCACTTAGAGGGTTATTCATACTTTCAGGTTATTGAACCATTTGTTCACACCATGTGGGACGTCTTTGAGCTTTGATTATACATTTGTACTCCACTGAGGTGCCAGTACTCCGGTCGGTGATATATTATGCATGACAAAATTAATTATACACAGGTATTTGATTCCTGCGTGAGTTAAAACATGAAAAGAAGTCGACTTGTTTTTACTCAAGAACTTTGCTTGATGATTTCACCTTCAATGACATGGCATTGAGAGATGAGATATTTTATAGTGATTTTGGTTTTCTTTCTCCATCATCATCGTCATCCTTGAGTAATTTGAAGGATCTTTCAGAATGAGGGTATGCATCACGGTAATTAATAACAACGCGGCGGTAGCTATTTTACGATCCAAAAGGCCCAGGGAGCTCATATAAAGTGCGCAATTGTTTAATGGCTAAATAGCAAATAACGTCAAGGTGTCTCTGTGCTCAAACAAAAGCAATTTGTCAGCTGTCATCTCCATTGATGGGCCGAAGCCAGCGGTGAAAATCCACATTCCCATGGTGGGAGCCAGCCTCTTCTCGATATGGAACGATTCATCTTCTCTTCGCCCACTCAATTGAGTGCTGAAATGTTGATTCAAAGAACCATTGTTATATATGTTTATATTTTATTTTAACATTATCGTGAATGTTGAACCCATTGCATACAACATAAACGAATGATTTGAAAGACATTGTCCTTCGATGCATGCATCGTAAGATAACTAATCAATATTAGGAATTCAGATTAATGGGAAATACGCTTCACTACTGGTTATAATCCCCTGGTTATAATATTAAATAAAATGCACGTCAAGTTACTATAACAACATTTTGGACCAAACCAGAACGAATATTGCACCTCCGATTAGCACGGTTGGCTACGTACGGTGCGAAAGAAGTTCAACATAAATACTCGCTAAGCAATGCAATTGCATGAATATGCGTCTCCCGTAGTCTGTTGGCAGGCCGCACGTGCTGGAGTCAAGTGGGGTTACTCCCGCTCTCCAGAAAGTGGCGAGCCAGCATGGAAGAGTCTGGCAAAATAACCTCTAGAGGTGCTCTCTAGGGCAGGGTCATGAGCAAGCTATTGCAGGTCTGCATCTTTACCTTTTGCATTCATATATCAATAGCTTCTATAGATAATCAACGTTTTTGGGTTTAGATCGCGTTTATTTATAAATGTGTCGTAACCCTCCACCACCCGACACGGCCAATCAGTAAAAATGTGTCACGTTGACAAAGACAAATAGTTCACTGCTTTAGCCCACCGGTGTGTTGAAGCCACAACATTTACAATTTGAGTACATGTTGTGGCTTCAACACACCGGTGGGCTAAAGCAGTGAACTATTTGTCTTTGTCAACGTAACACATTTTTACTGATTGGCCGTGTCGGGTGGTGGAGGGTTACGACACATTTATAAATAAACGCGATCTAAACCCAAAAACGTTGATTATGAATAACATTGGTCGCGAAAGCCTACGTGTTAAACTGAGCTTCTATAGAGCTATAGGGAAGCTGTTGATATTGCTGTAGGTGCTGTATTACTCTA